AACACAACATTTTTTTGACAATTTGCAATTTAAAAAAAGATTACAGTAAATTAATTACTTAATAAAATTTTAAAAAGATTATATATTACCTATAATTTAAGCTACTAAACATTATCTACATAATGTCTAATTAAACATTTTGAACTCGTGAATGAAACTACCTAATAATCATTTTTTAAACAACAGTTACCACCATAAAGATAGGCCAAAGATAACAACATTACGCAAAAAATCAAAGATAACGTTGTGTATTTTTAATATATTATATAAAAGGCTAGATAACACTTAGACCTAAAGCAGTGCTTGACAGGTAAAAATGAAAAATATATCTCTACACGTTTGCCAAGTCACACCACTTTGAAATCATGGAAACAACATTATATAAACATATATACTAACTATAAAACACAATATATTTTTTTAATGTTATATAACATATAAAAACACCTCATTTAACAATCATATACACATTAGATAAAATACATTTCATACTATTATAAAAAAAAATTTAAATAAACAACTATATAACATATATCACCTCATTTAACAATCATATACACATTAGATAAAATACATTTCATACCATTATAAAAACACATTTATATAAACAACTATATAACATATATCACCAAATACACGTATTTATCAAAAACTTTTTTAACATAATATAAACATATATGCAAACTTTCAACAACTATAAAATAATATTTATTAGCTTCAATTATTTTTAATGTAAAAAAGAATGCAGATACAATGCACAACATTGTTAATAAAAATGAAGTTATATTAGTCAGTATATATTAATCTAAAGCAATGAAAAAGAAGAAACCATTTTAGAACAAAGTAAAAAATTTCTAATAAATACATATTTAGATACCTTAAAATGAAGCATAAAACAACACTCTTTTGACAAATTGCAGAAGAAATTTTCTTAATTTTTCTATTCCTTATTATTTATCCTTAGAGAAAATATATATATAGATTTAGAGAAATATAAAATAGACTGAAATAAATCGAAAATCTTAACTTATGTATGAGAAAATAACTTGAACTTACTAAAAAAACAATCAGCTCCTCTTAACTGCTCTAAAAAATAAAACATATACTGCTTAAAATGTTTTAAAAAGACTAACGACCAAACTGAAACAGTTTTCTTAAAAAAGAGACATTGTACTAAAAAAACTATTTTACCAGTCAATTTAGTTCTAACTTATTCTAAAAAATGAAAAATAAATACATATTTAAATACCTTAAAATGAAGCATAACACAACACCCTTTTGACAAATTTCAGAAGAAATTTTTTTTGTTTTTCTATTCTCAACTATTTTTGCTAAGAGAAAATACATATAGATATACATATATATATACATAACAAACTAAGAATTTTTTTAATTTTTTATTTTAAAAAATAAACAGCATCAATTCTTTTTGAAAATAAGTGTATCAGCTCCAATTGCTTGCTGATTTTACTCGAAAGACCGCATGGAATATATAACTGTGCTTAGAAAAGTCTAGAAACAACTTAAAAACTTAGAAATAGTGTATTTTACATAATGCAGAACCGTAATTAACAAAACCAACAATAGGCGTAACAATGCGTAACTATGCGCACTAATATTCACTGGAAGAATTATATTTAGATAGTCTGTTCTCAAAATTAATTAGATGGTAAATTTGTTATTAAAATATGGTAATTTTGTCATTAGTGATATTACTCAGTTTTTTACACCAAAGATTTTAACAATTTTCTCTGCACTGCATATCTGTGTTTAAAATAAAAAGATAAGTTTCTTATTTTTTGCTAATTCTGTTAAAATTTGATATTATAATTTAATAATCAATTTTTTAATATAAAATTTATAATACTAAAGTTCTGCTTTTATAAGCAAAACTTAAAATTTTTATATATAAAATAAATTATATTATAGTTTAAACATAATCTCAAGCACTACAAAAAAAAAAAGAGGAATATTTGAAAAAAAAATTAATATTTTCTTTATCGCATTTTGTTAAAAAAAAAGTCAATCTGAAACTCAAACTTAGTCTTTTTTTATATGATGGTCTTAGCACATAAACTTTTAATTTTTTAAATTAATATTTGAAAAGAAAGAAAAAAAAAGAGTGGGTTATATTTGTGACAAAATTATACTTTTGCAAAAGCTGCTGTAAATTGCTGTAAACCACTTTAGGATACTATATAGTATTACCGCTGAGGCTATATATAATATATATGAACAATCACAGCTATATATAGTATATATGAACAATCACAATGAACAACCACGACATAAAATGAAAAAAGTTATCAAGTTTTATTCTTGTAGACATGATCACGGCCGTTTGCGCAAGTTTTATTATATGTGTTGCTGAAAAATTGTTTTAAATTTAATTACTACTTAAAAAATTAAAGTGAACTTAAATAGAAAACAATAATAATAGTTTAAATAATTTGTGTGTTGTTTTTATTTTTGTTTTTTCTTAGTGGTTATTATTATCGGCTACAAAAGTCAAAGCAAAAAAAAAAAAAAAAATGTTTTAGGCGTTAAAAAGGATGACTTTCCCATATTTTGTGTGTTTTTTCTTTTAAAGAGGAAAGAGAAAAATATGTATCGTCATCTGTTTGTAAAATATATTTGTATAATTATAATGTAACAAGTTTATATCAAGAGTTAAATTATATGATTGCGATTTGCAAACTCTGGTAAAATATTAGGTCTTTAAAATTTTAGTTCATGCAAAGCTGTGTTCTTTGTTTATAAGGAGCAATTTATTAAAAGTTTGCTAGTGAGAAAGTTACAAAAAACAAAACAAAAACAATAAACTTACAACTACAAAAGTAATAACACTTTAGTCACTAGCTGCATTATAAAAGTAATAAAACTATAATAGTAGTACTACATTTATAAAGCACTTATTACTTTTAAAGTTCATCCTTTGTTCAAACAACATGATTAATTCCAAACATTTATTAAAGTAGAAAAAGTAAAGCGGATATTCAAATATTATTAAAAATTTCAGAAACTTTCACATATCAATTAAACAACATTATAAAAAAGTCCTTTATAAAAAGTATAGCATTATGAAAATCGTTACGTAAAAACGCGTGTTAATTTTAAAATCAACCAATAAAAATTTTTTATTGGTTAATTTTAAAATTAACGCGCGTTTTTACGGTTTATTAGTAACGTTTTTCATAATGCTAAACTTTTAATACAATACGTTTTCGTAAAGTTGTTTGTCTTGTTTTTATAAGTTACTTTAGTTTTAATATTATTTGAACATCTACTTTATTCTTTTAGATGTTTTTTTACTAAATTAAAATTTGGGAATACTAATGTTGCTTGAACAAAAAATGAATTTTAAAATTTATAGGTGCGTTATAAAAATAATAAATTATTATAGTGTTATTACTTTTGTAATGCAGTTAGTGACTAGAGTGTTATTACTTTTGTAATCGTAAGTTTATTGTTTTATTTTTTATTTTTTCGCTAACAAATTTAAGTTGATTCTCCCCTTAAAAACAAGGAACACGGTTTTGTATAAACTAAAATTTTGAGTACTAGATATTTATCCAGATTTTGCGTTTTGCATTTGCTTTATTCAACCCTTGTTTTTACATTAAAATTATATAAATAAATTTTACAAACACATTGCAATTTGTATTTTTGCTATCCTCTTAAAAAAAATTAAGAAAAGGAAAATCATATTTTTTTATTGAAGACTTCAAACTGTTTTTTTTTTTTTGCTTCGTCTTATCAAATTTTTGTTGCTGAATGTAACTCTAAAGAAACAAAATTAAAAAACAGTACACAAATTATTTAAATTATTATTTTTTTTTTTTTTTCTATTTCAATCTCTTTTTATTTTGTTAGTTATGTTTTTTGTTTTTTTGAAACTTTTTCAGCATTATTATAAAACTTGCAAACATCCGTGTTCACATTTTCTAAAAAAGTGTAATCGCGTGTGGTCATACGAGAAAAAAACTGCATGCCTTTCCTTGGAAGACCTAAGATATATATATATATATATATATATATATATATATATATATATATATATATATATATATATATATATATATATATATATATATATATATATATATGCTTTAATTAATATTTTTAATTTAAAAATATATTTTCTCATACTCATACTCATACTCACTTTATGATCATGAGAGAAAAATTAACAATTCGTGCAAGTATCAAGCGTAATCAATGTAAATGTTTTAAACTAATTTTTATATTTATCATCAAATAATGCTTTTACTAAGGTCGATTATGCAGAAAATTGATTAAAAAATCAAAAAAAAATTTTTACTGTTGCAATCTGGAAAAAATTCTTAAAACTTTCACCATTACATCTAACACTCTGGATCACGCAAACTTCCCTATTTGCAAGTTTGGAAAAGTTATTGGAGTTTATTTCATTTTATACACAAGAAATACACATTTTTAAAAATATTGCTACGTCTTTATCTCAAAGAAATATTTAACAAATAGTATTTTGACTTTTTTTTTTGCAGCAATCCATCGCAGAGGAAGGCTTCAGCGGCCACACTCCCCAAAGCGGTTTACAGGAGCAATTTACGGCTCTCGCAAAAGTATAATATTTCTTACAAAAGTATAATAATTGTTGTAATTAAAATAAGAAACACAATGTCATTTAAAAAATTGATTGTATAATATACTGCAATGTTTTTTAAAAAGCACGTTTGCTGCAAAAAAAAAGTTAAAATTAAAAAAGAGCCTTGATTTAAATGAGGAGCAGCTCACACAGCTCCACAAGTTTATTTGAGGATAGCTATTCTCCGCTCTCGTGCTCATTTATTCCCGCCGAAGCCTGTAGAGGTGTTGTTGATTGCATTAAAGCTACTATTTAGTGTTTAGCAACTAACAAAGTAAAGTCAGTAAAACTGAAATCCAATCAGCAAATTGTTTTGTGAATTCTCTTCAATGTCAAAGTTTCAAAGTATATTCATATTTGAATAATATTTTAGTTTTAGTAAAACAAATCGTTTGTAAATTGCAACTCAGGAGCGTCATCTGTAAAGTGTCACCCTATATTTGCTGACTTTTGATCCCTTCCCTGTAATGCACATAAACATAAAAAGTGTAAGTAAAATTTTTGACAAACTAAAACATTTTTTTATTTAAATGACACAAGTATTAATAATAGTTGTCATACTAAAGTAATTATTTAAAGTTGCTTTTGATCTTGCGAAATAAACTGTTATTGATTTGATAATTTTGATAAATGTTATGGAAAATTACTCAGGAAGAGTCCCACCAGTTGTTTAAAGTTGTCTTTGTTAATTACTTTTAATGAATAAGTTCAATGCTTTTTTTTTGTAACTCTAAAAAATCCAACTATTTTTTATGTAACTCTAAAAAATCCAACACTAAATAATAGATATAAAAAATCCACGATAATCGCTTGGTAACCTAAGTGATGTAACTATAAGTTTAATAAATAGTATCAAGAAAACAAGTTTATATTCCTTTGAAGGTCACTTCTTATAAATTTTTCTTTATGTTTTAAATTAGTATAGAATTCTCAAAATCTTGTGAAAATTGCCAACACAATCCGATGTAATGATTTGCAGAAATCTGACCTGAAAGTTCAAACAATTTTTTTACTTTATTTTCTATGTTAGTTAAGTGGCATATTTCAGTAATAAGTTCTTTTGACTTTTTAGCGTATTTTATTCTTTAGACTAACAGATTTCATACAAAATAGCCAAAAATTTAATTTACAGTTTAAGTAGACAAATATTTGATAAAGTTGTTGCGCTTGTAACCTAAGTTAAAAATGAAATATATATATATATATATATATATATATATATATATATATATATATATATATATATATATATATATATATATATATATATATATATATATGTATATATATTATGGTTTATTTTTTGTAGGAAAAAAGAAAAGAAACAATAGAATTCCATCCGGTAATTAACTTCTTCTTTTCAATTTTATTTTATTGATTTATCAATAATATGTAAAAATATATATCAGACATAGCTAAATTTAGGGTCAAAAGTTAATGGCAATGAAAGATCTTACAGGAGTTATTGACTTAATTGTTAATGGCAAATAAAATTTTAAAAAACTTATTTACTAAAAGTTTTATATAGAATTAATATTTTTAGTAATTGTATAGATATTGTCAAATGCTATCAATCAATCTGTAAAATATAAAAGATAAAAACAAATTGTAAATTCATTAAAATGATATAAAATGTGAGAAACAAGAAATAGATTTAAATTATCAAAAATAGTTAAGATAATTATTATTAATTAGAGATAACACTGAATAACAAAAAAAAAATTTTGGAAAATATCTTGGAAACCAACACTTGTTTTAAGACAAGTAAGACATGCTGATTACAAATATAGAAACGTTTGTCTCTATCACCCACCGTTGTTGAGTTATTTGGCATTTATATATGTTTAATATTGTATCAAAGCAAACAACTCGCAGGCAAGTTACAGTAGAGCATATATCGCCGAATAGAGTACTACTTAACATAAATACACATAGTTTAAAGTATAATACACTTGTAAAATACATAGGTATAACGTAAAGTTCCTTAAATTAAAAGTTAGTTTGGTTTGAATTTCTTGGCTGTAGACTTGCGTTTGTACTGACAATTTGGCATGTTGTGCTGAAGCATCCAGCAATAGTCGGCTAACATTGCTGCACTCCATCGGCCTTGATAGCGTGACTCCATCACCGAGATGTCCTGATGGAAACGTTCACCATGTTCATCACTAACAGAACCTAGGTTTTCTGGGAAGAAGTCGAGATGTGAGTCGAGGAGATGAATCTTGAGGGACATGTTACAACCCATTAACTTGTACGCACTAATGCACTTCTGCACAATATTTACATAGTCAGGAGATTTATTATTTCCAAGGAAATTGGCTACAACAGACTTAAATGCCAACCATGCTTTTTTTTCAGTTCTGCTGAGTAAATCTTCGAAGTGACTGTCTGCTATGATCTTCCTTATTTGTGGACCTATGAATACACCTTCTTTCACTTTCGCATAACTCAACTCTGGAAACTTGTTGCATAGGTACTGAAAAGCATCTGAGTTTTTGTCTAATGCCTTCACAAAGTTTTTCATGAGCCCCAGCTTTATATGAAGTGGAGGCATAAGAACTTTTTCACGCTCAACCAATGGCACATGCAGGACGTTTTTAGTACCTGGCTCCATTTTATCTCTAATGGGCCAATTCTTATTTATATAGTGGTGCTTCCTATCTCTGCTGTCCCACTCGCAGATAAAGCAGCAGTACTTGGTGTACCCTGTCTGCATTCCCATGAGAATAGTGATCACTTTTAAATCACCACACATATTCCAATTGTAATTGACCTTTTGTTAGTGCCAGGCCCCAAAGTAAGGTCGCACAAGGTCGCAAAGATCATCATTATTAATCAAATGAATTTCATCATCATCAGGATTGTAGTCAGAGTCTGCCATGTTGCTGGAAGACGAACTTTCTTCTTGTGTTACATCATCGACTCTGTATTCTGTAAATGATGTTGGTATTGGACAACTGACTGGATCATGTGGAATTGGTTTTGAAACCGAGGGAATATCTGGATACTTCACAGATGAACGAGTCTTGTATGAGAAACCTGTGACATTTGTCAAACAGAAATAACAGTCAGTGATGTGGTTGCTTGACTCACGCCATATCATAGGAACTCCAAATGCCAGATGGTTGTTATTTTTAGCATTCCTTATCCAACCCCATAAGTTGCATGCACATGTCAAACAAATGAACTGTGGTGCCCATGACTTGCCGCTGTCAACCTTTGAATCAAAGTATTGTTCATAAGCTTTTCTCAGAAATGGTGTAAATGTCTTTCGGTGGCCTTTGTCTGTGAGATAGCCGCACACATAACAAAACAAGTCTGGTGAATTGATGCAGCCTCTAGACGCCATTGTTTTCACTGAAAAAAAATAGCAAATATATAGGAATAGTATAACTCATAATAAACACACAACTCATTAATAAACATACAGTTACAAATTAAGTACACTAAAGACCTATTTTCAGAACAGAATATATCAATTTAAAATATCAAAAAAATATGTTTAGTGTTGCCATCTGTTATTAACTTAGTAAACTAAACTCTATTTTCTTATTCATTCGTAACAATAAGGGATTAAAAAATGTATGTTTATGTTAATATCTTAAAAACCTGACGTGATAGAGAAAAACGGTTTTCAGATTTGTAATCAGCATGAAAAACTGCTTTAGAAAATGTAATCATCAAACAAGATATTTTTGGGTTGTTATTCAGTGTTATTAATAATACAGTGTCCATTCTGCTGGAAAAACTGGAAAACTTTAAAAAAAAGCAGTTCTTAAAAAACATGCTGGAAAAACTAGAAAATGTTTACTTAGAACAATATTGATGCTAGAAAAACTAGAAATTTTTTCTGAAAAATTTGCTGTTTAGTAACTTAATTCATGTTTAGTTAATTTTAAGTTTATTTTAAATCATACTAATAATATTTATTCAATTTAAAGTTTTATATTTTAAATTTAGATTATTATTGCTATTTTAGTTAATGTATTAAGCAATTAGTTAAAAGTAAAAAAGTGAAGAATCAATGATTTAAAGATGGTTGAGCAATTATAACTTTAAAGATTGGTTAAAGATCTTAAAGATGATACTAAAACAAGATTTGTAGTTTGCCACAGTTAAAATCAGGTCAATAAAATTATCTTTAAGTGGCACTCTTCCTTAATAGACCACGCAAAAAGAGCAAAACACAATATAAAAATAAGAAAAGTGAAAGTATTCTTTGCTAAGCCAAAGAGAACTTCTCTTTTTTCTGACTCTAATAAGTCAAAAACAAAAGACATGAGACTTGGAGGAAATTATCTGGCAGCATAAGAATGTTAATAGTGGACTTTCAAATGATGACTTCAAATGATGACTTAATCCATGTTTTTACAACTATGTTTCCAGACATTGCATTAGCTTCACAATTTCAGTTGGGATCAGGCAAAACTTCCTACAAGTTAAATTGCAGTTTAACTCCTCATTATAAATTTGTTAGAAACATTAAAACTGTCGACATCCATGTTTATTTATCTGATGAGAGTTTGAATTAGGTCACCTAAACTTCTGATATGGAAATTGGATTCTGGAACCTTAATTGAAACCATGTTCCTTATTTTGGATCAAGTTTCTATGGTCATACAACACACCAAGACTTATTGACCCCTCTTAGGAATATTGTTAAAAATTTGGAAATAACACAGCTATATCAAATATCAATGGATGGTCCATATGATAAGCTAAAATTTTTCAATGAATTCAGTACAAGTTTGACTTTTACGTTTTCTTATTAATATCAGAACTTGCAGTTTGCATATTGCCATATGTTTTAAAAAAGTTTGAAAATTTTCTTTTCTTTCTGGAATTCCTTACCTAAATTCAAACAGCAAAAATGTACAAGTTATGAGACATTAAAAAACAGGGATTATCTTTTCTAGATATTTCCGGAATTCCGAATATGTTTTGGATAACTGGAAAAACTGAAAGTTTTTCCGGATATCATAAAGAGGTATCTATTTTTGTAATATATTTGTTTTTTATCCCTCATAGTAAAATTATAAAAAGTGTCAAAAAAATGAGAAACAACTTAGCTAAAAGTGTAATTAAAAAGAAAATAAGGGAAAAAAAATTCCGTATTTTTTCCAGATATTTTATCCAAACAGTTTTCCGGATATTTAAAATATGACTAGGATGATCTATGAAAAAAGGTATTTCAAGATCATTTAATGCTTCCAGAGTTTTCATTTTCAAGATCACATGCATTTCAAGATCACTTAATGCTTCCCAAGTTTTCTTGCTTATAATAGTTGAACCTTTTCTAAAAAAGTTTTAAAAGTTTTAAAAGTACCAGACAATGATGTAAACGAAATAATAAAGTTACTTGAAGTTATTAGGTAACCAGATGTTTTTGAAAAATGCTGAAGCTAGAAAATGTTGAAAAACCTTTCTTTGTTGAAAATGGTTAAAGATGTTTCTTTGGCTAATTATCTGTTACCTAAAGAAATGATTGATGCAAGATTTGTTGTTTCTGAAGAACTAGATCATCTAAAGAACTACATCATCTGAAGAACTACATCATCTGAAGAACTACATCATCTGAAGAATTACATCATCTGAAAAAATTGTTTTGATAACATTGTCTCAAAGCAAATAGTTCTTTATGGTAGCCAATAAATTTGTTGTTTCAATGGTAAAAACTATTGTGACAAATCTCCATTGAATTATTCATTGATAAGAACATCCAGTATAATTGACCATAAATTCCTGATGGAATTGGTAAAGCAAAAATTGGTTAATCATTTGAAAACTTTTTTGGGTACTAAGTGAGTTAAGGGATTTTATCACCTCAATGATATGACTTTGTGAAATTTAAAAGAAAATTAATAATTTTATATAAAATTTCACGCAAAAAAGTTAAAAAAAAAAAAAATTGAAACTAAATAAAAATTTGTAGAACTTGAAATTTATTATTAACAAATGGAGCTGTTTTATTATAATAATATTGCTTGAGTTGTTTCTCTTTTAGAGTTTTCTGATTTTGTGATTTATTGAAGAATTTTGTAATTAAAGAATCTTAACTAGAATAATGGCTTGTATGAATTGTGTATTTCCTTGTATGGATTGTGTATTTCCTTGTATGGATTGTGTATTTCCTTGTATGGATTGTGTATTTCCTTGTATGGATTGTGTATTTCCTTGTATGGATTGTGTATTTCCTTGTTTGGATTGTGTATTTCCTTGTATGGATTGTGTATTTCCTTGTATGAATTGTGTATTTCCTTGTATGGATTGTGTATTTCCTTGTATGGATTGTGTATTTCCTTGTATGAATTGTGTATTTCCTTGTATGGATTGTGTATTTCCTTGTATGGATTGTGTATTTCCTTGTATGAATTGTGTATTTCCTTGTATGGATTGTGCATTTCCTTGTATGAATTGTGTATATTTCCTTGTATGAATTGTATATTTCCTTGTATGGATTGTGCATTTCCTTGTATGAATTGTATATTTCCTTGTATGGATTGTGTATTTTCTTGTATGAATTGTGTATTTCCTTGTATGAATTGTGTATTTCCTTGTATGGATTGTGCATTTCCTTGTATGGATTGTATATTTTCTTGTTTGGATTGTGCATTTCTTGTATGGAGAGTTTTTTTAATAGTAACTAGATATTGGTAAACCTACAAGCTTTTCTTTATTTTAAATAGTTATTTGTTAGTTATCATGAATATAATATTTGCTTCACTGTATATTCATGTTTTATATAAAAACCTCTTTATTTGTGGTTTAATCGTTTTTATGACTGACTACTCAGAGTTTCATCAAGTTCAAGTTTTTTTGTTGTCTTTTTTTGTATAGTTCTCAATGGTGCTTTTTTGGATTAAGTTGTAGTTCACAAATTTATTTAGTATTTAGTTTTAGATAACATACTTTTATCTTTATAAGTGCAGTAGTAGTCTTTAAGATAATTTTTGTATGACTTTGGAAATATAATTAATGCTGGAGTTTAAATGCTTTTTCAATACTAATGCTGGAAAAAGATATGGGTTTTAGAACCAAAATCCAAAAAAAAAACACTTCTAAATGAAATATCTGCTTGATTTTTTTTTTAATTATCAGTGGACACCCTGTAATAGTTAGAGTGGATACCCTGTAATAGTTAAAGTGGACATCCTGTAATAGTTATAGAATTAGTAAATGTTAGTTAGAGATCAAAATTCGGTAGTACTGTAGTTGTAGAGCACTTGCCTCATAAGTGAGAAATTCCAAGTTTGTTCCCCACCATGTCCCTGGAAATACTGCACTCAACTTGTTTCTCTGTGCATCGACCTTGTTCATTGAAGTTCACGTTTCTGAATTACAGAGTTAAGAGAAGGGTTATAATTACAAAACTAGTCTCCTTGTCTTTATTGGTCTTCTTGGTCTTGGGGAGGTAAATAATAATAAAAAAGATAATTATTAATATTTAGAAATAATTATTAATTGTTAGTTTTTTTTTTAATTCTGATTCACTCCCAGCAATGCAAGCAACCACTATTAAATTGGAAGTAACTAGAAAAACAGAATAGAGTTAGACCAAAGAAATGGTTGTCAGAAGACTTGAAAAGTTAAAGGTTGTATGAGTCAGGAAAGCATAAAGATGGGAGAGAGATTTAAAGCAGTGCAAGGAAAAAAACTATGAGGTGCAAGGAAAAAAACTAGACAGATAAGATTTTTTAGAATATGCAGGGACAGATACAGTAAAAGAATGAGTCTTTGCTTGAAGAAGACACAAGCTAGATTGAGTTTTAGTTAATGGAGCTAAATATGATAGTTCCATTGAGCAGCGACTATGATAGTATTTCTAAAAATGAAAGAAATGCAACTTTATGACAATGGTAGAAGCTTAGCAAATAGAGTAGGTCCAACTACTTTTAAAATACGTTTTTGGACCTTGTCTAGAAGAGAAAGAGCATCATTATAAGAACCAGTTTTAATATAACAACAGTATTCCATACACGGATGAATAAGAGATTTGTAGAGTTAGAGAATGAAATTAGGAGAGAGAAATTGGCAAGCACAATAAAGAGAAGCAACCTTAGCAGATTGATGCTCATTTAGCAGTCAATTGTATATATGGTTTCCATGAATGGTCATTAGTAAACAATAATTAGTAAAGTCATTAGTAAACTCAGTGAGAGGGTTGCTATTCATGAATGTATAGGTATGTGTACAGTACTGGGATAGTTGTTTGTAGTAAAAAAACTGAGTTTTGTTGGAGTTGAAATTTCTAGCCACTCTAAGCCCCATTCCATTACAGAAGTGAGATCAGATTCAAAATAGTTGAATGTTCTAAGCAATCAAAAAGAGAAGACTTTTTGTCAAGACAGGAGTTATCAGCAATAAGAAGTACTTTAGATGTAAGGTTGTCGGGAAGATCATTAATGTAGATTAGAAACCAAGGATTGAGTCTTGAGATACCCCAGAAGTTACTGGAAATAAAGAAGAGTGTTGACCTTCAACGACTACCTCAATAACGTGGTTAGAAAGAAAAGATTTGATAATCTCAAAAACCTTTTCTAGATACACCATATAAAACAAGCTTATGAATAAGACCAGCATGCCAAACTTTGTCGAAAAACTTAGATATGTCAAGAGCAATAGCCCTAACCTCTCCACCTCCATCTGATTCACAATAAAATCTTTTAGTCACATCAGTAAGCAAGTCAGTCGTAGAGCGATGGGATCGAAAATGGTATTGATTGTCAGACAGTAAGTTATTTGACTCAAGATGGATTGTGAGAAATTTGTTTATCAAAGACTCAAAGACCTTGCTAATAATATAAAAAAGACTGATCAGGTAATTTTTTGGAGGGGTCAGAATGTTAATTAGAGTGTTTGAAAATTGGAACACCAGATACTATTTTCCAGCATACAGGAAAACAGGACTCAATCAAGCAGTTATTAGAAAGTTTAGAGAGAAGGTTCTGGAGAAAGAGAGTTCTGGAGAAAAATTTTGTAAGACTATGACAGGAATGTTGTCTTGACCACAAGCCGTAAAAGAGTTTAATGGAGATATAACTTTAGCAACCGAGGCTTGAGTGATTTGAATGTATTACAATGGGTTAACCTGTTTAATTGGAAAGGAAGGAACTTTACGAACTTTTTTTGTTTTTGTATCTCTAAATAAATGTGTCATTTCATGTATTTATATTACTGTAATAAATGTTTGTATCAGTGTAAAAAAATATGTTTATATCAGTGTAATAAATAAGTAGTTTTTTTAAATGAGTAGTTTCATGTTTTTAAATAATATGTAAAATTTTTTTAACTCAATAAATGGGATATATCAATATGATATATGCGTTTATATCAGTGTAAAAAATGTGTTTATATCAGTGTAATAAACGAGTAGTTTTATGTTTTTAAATCATGATGTACAATTTTTTTTTAACTCAATAAACTTATTTACATGCTTTATTTATACTTATTAAATTTATTTATTATTATTACTTATTAAACTTATTTATTATTATTAAACTTATTATTAAACTTATTTATATACTTATACTTATAAATAAATATAACTTATTTATATACTTATAAATATATTATATTCATGTTTTTAAATTAGTATAATAAATGTGTTTATATCAGCGTAATAAATTTGTTTATAACAGCATGTGTGATAAATGTTATATCAGTGTGATAAATGTTTTTATATTAGAAAAATAAATGTGTTTATATCAGTGTAATAAATGTGTTTATATCAGTGTTATAAATAAGTCACTTCATGTTTTTATGTACAATTTTTTTCCACACAATAATTGTATGCATCGAAATGCATTAAAAAATTACATTTTTTTACTCTGATTGTAACATTGTTCTGTTTTCAAGTTTTCTTAATTAATCAGAGATGAAATTTGTAAAAGAAGTTGAAGTACTAGTAAAAAAGCATTTTATTCAGTTTTAAATTTTTTTTCAAATTAAATTTTATTGAGTTTCTTCAAAACTTAATTAGCTTTAATTAAATAGCTAAAGATGGAATCTAAAGAGCTGCAGATAAAATGTACTTTTATGAAAAGACTTTTTTCTATAAAATTTAGTTCCTTTTTTTTTAAGTTATTAGAATGTTCTAAAATGATCTAGCATTTTTATCACAGAATACTTTGAAACAGCATTTGTCTTTATGTTTATTAGTTAGATAAATATACCAACATGAGTTATTTATGAATGAATACCTTTTGTTCATTGTTACACAATTTAATGCTGTTGGTTACAGAATATGCTTAAATTATATTGATATATAGAATTGTATATGCATCTTTGTCAAGAAATAAAGTAGAGTCATGAACTTTTTTTCAACCTCACAGATGTGAAGATCTATTTCATTTTATTTAGATAATTATTTAAGTTTTAAAATAATAATAATATTAATTAATAAGCAAAATTAACTATATAGTGATAAATTATTTTAAATTTTGTTTTTTTGCAAAATTTATAATTTTTATATAAATTTATTTATAGTATGATCAATCAAGTTTTGTTGATAGTACTCCTCAGGTTAATTTATTTAAGGTAAAATATTTTATTATCCACATATTATACATATTTATAGTTATTATATTTCTTGTTACATCTTCCGTTCAACAGTTTTCTAAATACTAAATACATTTTCGCCTGTGTTTTAAAATACACAAGTTTATCATGTGTATTTTGCAATACAGGTTTTATATTTTACTTTAAATTTCATTAAAGTTGTTAAGTTCAATTTTAATTTCTTTTTACTTTTTTTAAATTTAAAAATATTTTTTAGTTGTTTTTTTTTTTTAATTTTTTTGTTTTGTTTATTAGAAAAAAAGAAAGAAAGAGAAAAAAGAAACTCCTCAAAAACTACAGACAAAAAAAGTTAGTTTATTACATAAAGTTGTATTATTGTTGTGTCGTTATGCATCATGTGAGATTTATAATTTTTTGAGTTATACTTTATATAGTTTATTTTTATTTATAGCTTTATATAGTTCTCGCCAGATAGTTTGCCATACTCTTTAAGGATGCATGTAGTATGTAGCTTTATTCACTTTTTCTTCGTAATGAATATTTTGCAATCTTAACATTCCTTTAGTAAATCCAACTGAGGTCATACAAACTTTTTTTTATAAGCTCTGGGAAAAAGGTAATCCTTAGGAATCAAGTTAAGATTATCCAAATGTGATTTGTATCTCTAAATAAATGTTTCATTTCATGTGTTTATATTAGTGTAATAAATAGTTCCTTTTTTTCAAATTTCTTCCAAATGTGATTTGTATCTCTAAATAAATGTTTCATTTCATGTGTTTATATTAGTGTAATAAATAGTTCCTTTTTTTCAAATTTCTTCCAAATGTGATTTGTATCTCTAAATAAATGTTTCATTTCATGTGTTTATATTAGTGTAATAAATAGTTCCTTTTTTTCAAATTTCTTCCAAATGTGATTTGTATCTCTAAATAAATGTTTCATTTCATGTGTTTATATTAGTGTAATAAATAGTTCCTTTTTTTTAAATTTCTTCCAAATGTGATTTGTATCTCTAAATAAATGTTTCATTTCATGTGTTTATATTAGTGTAATAAATAGTTCCTTTTTTTTAAATTTCTTCCAAATGTGATTTGTATCTCTAAATAAATGTTTCATTTCATGTGTTTATATTAGTGTAATAAATAGTTCCTTTTTTTCAAATTTCTTCCAAATGTGATTTGTATCTCTAAATAAATGTTTCATTTCATGTGTTTATATTAGTGTAATAAATAGTTCCTTTTTTTCAAATTTCTTCCAAATGTGATTTGTATCTCTAAATAAATGTTTCATTTCATGTGTTTATATTAGTGTAATAAATAGTTCCTTTTTTTTTAAGTTATTAGAATGTTCTAAAATGATCTAGCACTTTTATCACAGAATACTCCGAAATAGCATTTTTTTTTTATGTTGATCAATTATCATAAATATATCAAGTATTTTATGAATGAATACCTTTTGTTCATAGTTCCACAATTTAATGCTGTTGGTTACAGGATGTGCTTAAATTATATTGTTATATAGAATTGTATATGCATCTCTGTCAAGAATTAAAATAGAGCCATGAGATTTTTTCAATCTCACAGATCTGATTTTTGAAGAAGTTGGTTATCATGAGACAATCTGCTGTCTATTTCAGAACATTTAATTACAAAAGTTAATGAATAATGGGAATTGGATTTTAGCAATTAATGGAAACTGGTTGTTAACAAATTAAAATAAAACCACTGGTTGCTACGAAATATTTAATAATACATTATGAAATAGATAATTATTATATTTAAAATAATAATAATATTAATTAACAGGCAAAATTAACTATAAAGTGATAAATTATTTTAACTTTTTTTTTGTTGCAAAATTTATAATTTTTATATAAATTTATTTATAGTATGATCAATCAAGCTTTGTTGATAGTACTCCTCAGGTTAATTTATTTAAGGTAAAATATTTTATTATCCACATATTATACATATTTATAGTTATTAAATTTCTTGTTACATCTTCCGTTCAACAGTTTTCTAAATACTAAATACATTTTCACCTGTGTTTTAAAATACACAAGTTTATCATGTGTATTTTACAATACAGGTTTTATATTTTACTTTAAATTTCATTAAAGTTGTTAAGTTCAATTTTAATTTCTTTTTACTTTTTTTAAATTTAAAAATATTTTTTAGATGTTTTTTTTTTTTTGAATTTTTTTGTTTTGTTTATTAGAAAAAAATAAAGAAAGAGAAAAAAGAAACTCCTCAAAAACTACAGACAAACAAAGTTAGTTTATTATATAAAAATGTATTTTTGTTGTGACGTTATGCATCATGTGAGATTTATTTTTTGAGTTTTTGAGATATACTTTTGAGTGAATTTAAAATGACAATTACTTTAATGCCGAGTGATTTTTTTGAAACATGATCTTTTTGCCCTTCCTGTTTGATACCTGTTTTGTAGATTGCGACTGAGTATTTTTATTGTGATACTACCTCTACAAAGATTACCATCCTCCATCATCCTCCATCCTCCTCCATCATCCTCCATCATCCTCCATCATCCTCCATCCTCCTCATACACTTAAAGTTCTTCATTTTTTTACTTAAAGTTATTAATGTTTTATATTAAAATATTTAAGAGTTTACTTTAAAAAAAAACCCTGATATAACTGACTAATACAAAAGTTGTTTTTACCACGGGTATAGAACTTTACTTGCCCACTTTACGTTTTATTTTGTAGTGTCAATAAAATAATGTCTTTTTGCAGGTGTTAAGGACCTCTTTTGCTGACTTTTATTAACAACATCGTTTAATAGACCTGAGGTTGTTCATCTAGAAGACGTGGTGACTTGACTTGGAGACCTGGTACAGTTATGAGAATCTATGGTTACTTGCTTTCTATATTAATAATTTATTAATATTTCAAAAATTAAAAAAATATTTTATCTTTAAATAAAAATCGTTTTACGTCGTAACAAAAAAATTAAAAAAACAACTTATTTTTAACTAATGTTTTAAAATGTCCAAATAATGTTTTTAAAGCTCTGCAAGTTTATTTACATTTTCCTATCAAATTATATTCAGATAAATTTTAAAATGATCTTTCCAACAAATCTTCATCGAGTTCTCATTCTTATGATTTCCAAAACATTCGGATAATGACACAAGGACTAATATAGCATTAATATTTCATTATTTTTTCCTTTTTTTTAAAAAAAAATCTTACAAACAAGTAAAGCATTCAACTGTAACCCATTTTACATTTACTTAACTCCTAATTCGAATTAGATGGTTTCAAAACAAATAGATTTTTTTATAGCTCGATTATGACCATGGTCATTACATTGCATCATGGGTATTTTTGCAAATCAATGAATCAATAAGTTGTTTTAATTTATGAAAAAGTTTTTAATCTAATTCTTTAATTTTGATTTTAAAATTAAAAAAATGTTTACAAACAAATAAGAGAGCAATTTAAATAATAATAAATCTTTAATAATACATAAATAATAATACATCTAAAATACATCAAAAATCTTTAGAAAACATTTTAGATGTTATATTAGCATCTGTGCTAAATTAGAAAAAGTTTTTTTCACATTTATAAATATTCAAAGTTTTATTTAAAGGGACTACCAAATCCTGAGACATGTGTTCATATTAAAGAGAATGTTAAAAAAAAAACATTTAAGCAAATTTTTTTTGATTAAAACTAATTAATAAATGTATACAAAGAAAAACAAATCTTGTTGTTTTAGTCAAAGCTAGTCTTCTCCATTTTCTGCGGTATTTGGAGTCTGTAAAATAAACACAATTTTCTAGGCGCATTATACAGACGATAATTTATTCATGTCCGTTTAATTCATAGAAGTACATTTTAGTACATGACGTCATTGAAAACATTCTAGAAATTCTTTAAAAATTTTACTATTAATTTTTACTAAAATAACTAACTATAGTTAGCTATTTTATTTTCTAAAATCTTCACATTGAAAAAACTTTATCAGAGCCGTGGCTACATGGGCCACGGCGACGGTGGATCTAGGGACCCCTATGGCGCCAAATCGAGTTATGTAATATCTCCAATGATTTACTAGTCTGTTCTTTACATTTTGATGCAAGTTGTTTCAACAAATCTAACGAACAATTAATTAAACCAAGCACTAAGAAAAGATATAAAAAATACAAATATACTAATAAAATATATAATTTGTAATTAACTTTCAAAATTTTGACAATTTAAAAAATATATATTATAAAGTATTTATTTTTGTAAACAAATGATAATAGTTTAAAAGATTTACGGCTTTGCAGATGTGGCTCCGAGAATTAGCCATAAGATTAAAGTAATAGTTCGTCCGATAATATATTATCATAAAACAATTTATGCTAGATATCTCAAAACGCAACAAATCGTGAATAATTCAATTGCTAAAACATTTAAACAGAATACTCTAGAGCTTTATTTTGCTTAGTCAGCGTATTTTTTATAATAAAATTATTTTGTTCGTAAATTTGGCGGTTTTTAGTTTTCGCGAATATTTTTTTTATTCTTCCGCAAGATGTTTTAAGAACAGTCAAGTTAATTATGTTTCCATGTATGTCCGTAAAATAAAAATTAATATATATTAATTTTTTAATTTTTAAGCCCCCGCCATAATATATATTAGATGTTATAATAATGGAAATATAAATAATGAAATAAGATCACCTCAATACCCAAAAATACATTTTTGAAAATCAGAGAAAAAATGCGCTAATAATTTTTTTTTAATATTTACAAAGTAAATTAATAAAAGTGCATTATTATTTAGGTTAAAAGTTATTTTATCTAATACTTTAAAAGAAAAACTTATAACAAAAGAAATCAAAATGCATGTGGCCTAGACGATTATTTAAAAAAATTTGCGCAAATAAAATACTATTTTGTTTTTAATTTTTTTACAAATACATTTTAGAACAAAACAATCAATGACGTCATGTACTAAAATGTACTTCTATGAATTAAACAGACTTGAACAAATTATCAAGTCTGTATAATGCGCCTGGAAAATGGCATTTATTTTACAGACTCCAAACACCGCAGAAAATGGAGAAGACAAGCTTTGACTAAAACAACAAGATTTGTTTTTCTTGGTATTCATTTATTAATTAGTTTTAATAAAAAAAAATTTGCTTAAACGTTTTTTTTTAACATTCTCTTTAATATAAACACAACATGTCTTGGTAGTCCCTTTAAAGTATAAAGTTTTAACATTTGGTCTTAAATCTTTTAGATATTTTATGAAATATATTAATTTTTTTTAATAATTTTTATAATTTTTTTTTTATTAACTATTTTCTAACAAGTCTGGAAGCAACCATGGTTGACTAAAAACTTGTAATATTTTGTGTCAAAAACCTGTAATACTTTGTGTCAAAAACCTGAAGACAAGAAAAATTTTGAAATCATTGATGTTTAAGGTAGGAATAAATTATGTATAGGCTATTTTGTACTCAAAAAATTTTGTGAACATGAAGCAGCTTGTGTTTTGGTAGAACAAGAGATTAAAGTTTTTTTGAGCAACAGCAATGTATTTGTCAAAAAGAGAAACTTTGCATCACTGGCTCAGACTTAGCATATAAGTAACATTTACAATTTTAAACATAGTCTAAGAAAATGGGCATCATTAGTAGGACCAAGCATGTGCAACCAAGCATGTATATCAGTATTCCATACTTAGACAACAGTATAGATACTTAGATACTTAGATAGCAGATAAATAGACAGATAGATAAATAGCAGATAGTAGTATTCCATACTTAAATAAATAAGATGTAGAAAATGGAAAATAAGAAAACAGCAAATACACTCAATAAAATCTTAGCAAATACTTACTTTGCAATGGATTGAGCTTTTTATCAGAGGTTAGCAGTGAAGGATAATCGGATAATGAAGGATAATTGAAGGTGAAGGTGAATGATAATCGGAGAGAAGTAAAAAAAAGGAGCACAATTAGAGTGTTACCATAGTAATCATCAGATCAGTATCATTATAGGAATTCCAAAAATCTTATTGTATTCTTCAGCAGTAAACAAATGAGTTTTGTTTGGAATAAAATTTACTAACCACTGTAAGCCTTTAGCTTCCACAGAAGAAAGATCCTATTCAAAATCAGCTTTTTTTTTAAAACATTTAAAAAATGTTGACTTTTTTTAAAGGCTGGAATATATAATTATTTAATCTACAAATTAAATCATTTATTTTATTATTATTTTATTTCAGAGGTAAGTAAAAGTTTAAGCATGGTGCTGTTACAGTTTTAAGGTAGTTTTGAAGAAATATCTTTTATTGTATAATTTTTACTTGAAATTGAAATTAAAAAATAAATCATTGTTCAAAACATTCAAAATTGATTATTTTAACCAAATATTTTGATAGGTTAATTATTAGGGTTGCATTTATTTTACATTTATTTAAATTAATAAATAACAAAATTAGTTTTTCAATACCGTATTTTGTTTTGTATACCAACAAACTCATAATTTGTCTTAAATTATTATAAATAATCATAATTTAAAATTTTTATAGTATGATCTTCCAACAATGATCATTTTATCAAGTTCAGATGAAAACCTTGAACAATCTAATGATCAAACAGAAAAAATTGCTGAATCCTGTGATCATCAATCCATTACAAAAGTGATTAAAGATGTAAGAAATTTATTTTATTTAATTTTGAACAGCAGTTAATTGTAAAACAGTCTGTTTTTAATAAATAAATTGTTTTCATTTTTTCAAATTCATTTTATTATGGATTTGAATTGTTGTTTCTGTTATAAGAAAGCACAAGTCTCTTTATCCTACATCTTGCTTAAGCCTCCATATCATTACTGTGAGTAAAAGCTTTTCAGATAGTTTAGCGTATATTGGAAAGCAGGAAATTTAATGATGATGTTGTGGAAAAAATTGTTCTGTAGGTGCAATGAAATTTTTTTCTGAAGCAGGTGCTCTTATCACTCCAATTGTTGTCCAATTGTTATGTTGACAGAAATCTTTTTGAATATAATTTTTGATTATTATTCAACTCTCAGAATGAAGGTTGGCATTTGGAAATGCCGACCTAACTGCCTAGCTGAAAGTGTTCGAGGTCAGCAAAATATTGCCAATCATTTTTTGCCGACCTTGTTTCTATGTTTTATAATCAGACCTTTGTATCAAATAATTTTTGCCGACCAAAAGCCAATATTTGAAAAATGAGGTCGGCAAATTATTGTGGACCTCATTTTTGCTAATTTCAAAGATTGATTATTGTTTTTTTAAGAGTTTTATAGCTTATAAATTAGAGTTTTTAATTAGTACACAACATATGGTTAATCTAGAAACATTTTCTAGTTCAGGAATATTTTGCTACAATGAACTAAACCTGCAATAAACAACCTGTAATAAAATAAGCAGGTTTACTTTCATATCTCATTTTCCTTTGTATATAAAACTCTCAGCTTTTTACTCTCTTCTTGTTTCTGATTTTATGTTTTAGGCTTTTCTTAAATTTTAACCAGTTGCATGTACCATTTGCTTTTCTTTAATTTGAGGGCAAAGTTTAAGCTTTCTCTTAAGCTTAATGATTTCTCTTTGTTTAGCAGGGGGTTCATTGATTTTCTAACTATGGTATATATAAAAATAGTTCTAACTATTTTTATATATACCATAAAACCCCCTGATTCCATATGGTTTAGTACATAAATCATCATAACTTGCTCATTATAAAAAACTTTGGAATAATTTTTTTAAATAAATAAGCTTCTTAACAAGGCAAGTTGAACGGTATAAAAAAACTTTGTTTTTTTAATTTAAATCTTTATTAAATTTTATTTTGTTTTTAAAAAAAATTGTATTTATCTGGGATTAGGTGTCTATGTCCCTAATTCCGGATGCATATAAAATATAGAAAAAATACACAAATAATACAGACATTAAGCTAATTAATTTAATCTATAAAACAAATTGAATTGTTTATTTAAAAAAGAAATATATTATTTTATTCACATTCGTTACAATAAATTTCATAGTTGAACAATATCCAACAACACATGCAATGCAAGACTAATTATAACACTACTCACATGCAAGCTATTTGCTCAATAATTTTTGCAAGAATAACAAAGACGATTATAAGATACTAAAGTACTATTTGAAGCTTGAGGTAAATGTGGATCTTCTGATTGATTCTTTATCTTTGAGTCCTTTTTTTGCCTGGTGTTTTAGCCGACTAACATTGTTTCAATTTTTTTTTTCTTCTCTTTTCTGTGCATTTTCTGCTTTTTTAATAGTAGTGGCAAACTTTTCTCTGCACTATCAATTTCTTTGCAGTTTGTTCTTTTCTTTTATTTTAAATTTCTTTCATTTAATTTTTGTTTTTTTGATGCTTGCTCAGCTTCATCGTAAGCTATGGCTTAAGCTATGACATGAGCTATGACGAGAGCTATGGCATCCACCAAAGTCATATTATAATTAGCTGGTTGCTCTATTCTCTAACATTTTTGAACTCTTTTATTTAGAGTTGTTGTCAATTGATCACAAAGCATATTTAACACTGATTTTTTTTTTTTCTTTTTCCACTTGTTAATTGGTATTATTCAAAGTAGAAAAGCTTTTAAACAAAAGTTCACGATTTGACATTCTTGATGGTGTGTTAGGTGTATTGGTAGCATTTCCCAAAACTAATGGACTAGATACTGCTGAAGAGTCAAATAAATTTTCAGTATTATTGTTTTTAACCACTTAAAACACAGCACCGATGGAAGTTTTTTTATAAGAAATTTGCGAACAATCAAGTGGAAATATACTAGTATTTTTAAAACCACTCCTTGCATTTTTAGATTTAAACCCATCATTTTGGATGAGATCCTTAAACATGGCCGGAAAATGTAGATTTGTCAAGCTTTGAAAGTGATTTTTAGTCAAATAACTTTTAACTAGTCACTTTTATTTGCTTTTTATTGTTTTAAAAACGCAAACATCTAATGGCTGTAAAAAATTTTTAGGTACATAAAATAATAATTACCTCTAGCTGGATTTAGATGTCTTTTTTTTTTTGCTGGTTGCAAATTTGTTTTCAATTTTTTTCAATTAATTCAAATAATAATTAATTTTTTTTTTTAACTCAATCAGCATAAAATTCTGCATAAAATAGTGTTTTTACTTTTTAATTATTTTGTTGCAAATTTAAGTTATTATTATTTTTTTTTTTTTGTTAATTTATTTGTTACATTTCAAATTAAAATAATTTATAATTGCATTATTTCATAACTTTTTTTTTTTGTATTGTTCGATTTGTCTGGTATAGACGTTAAGTAATTAGAAAAAATATTTTATAAATTTGTTATATTAGGCGAGTTATGAAACTTTTTACTAAAACCATCTGGAATTAGGGGGTTTTACGGTATTCATATATATAAAATTTATTTTAATTTTTATTTTATGAGTTTACAATTATTACTTAGAATTTAATTTAAAATATTAAAACAAAATATATTATAAGGTATCTGCCAGATCAGGGAAATCAGGGAAAAATCAGGGAGGTCAAGTATCTGCAAAAAATCAGAAAATAATCACGGAAATTTAAAAGTTTAATTTTTGGAAAATTAAGGAGAAATCAGAGTAAATGGCTCTTCATTAAACTTACAAATTATATATAACTTTATATATAAATATATAACAAATATATAACTTTATTTAGAAGATAGTTTTATAAACTTCTCTTGGCACTTTGAATGTGCATTGCATTCATATTTGTATTTTTGCAATTGAAGTACGTTTTTCTAAAAGAATATAAGTACGTTTTTTCTGAAGTTGTGTTTGAATAACTTAAAATTAAATCAGGGAAAACAGCTAGTGGATCAGGAAAATATCAGAGAAAAATCAAGGAAATCCATCTTCTTATATTGGCAGATATTCTGTATAATTTTAAAAAGATGGCATGGGGTATAAATGATACCTCTTGTAATGTATCAATTACAGCAAATTCATATTTATTCATTATTTATTATGAGATATTTGGTTTTTTATTTAAATTTTGGAAAAGATTCCAGAGAAAGACTTCCTTCCCAGAGGAAGACTGAATTAGAAAAAGTTTTAATTTTAAAAAAATTGTAAAATTAAGAGATATTTTTTAAATTAACATGCATACTTTTGTAATTGATTATGCCCCTAATATTCCTATAATTTATTTATTAAATGCTTTTTACAGATCCCTTCTCCCCTGTAATCCCCTTTAGATTATGTATATAACCACAAAGCCCTTGATTTTAGCACCAGATCAAGTTTTAACACAATAAAGTCTTTATAAAAATGTAAAAGAAGTTCACAAGAATACATATTATTTATGAACCGCTATCAAAGTTATGTATGTAAGAGTAAAAAAAATTTTTTAGAATAATTTCTTATAAGTTCTACGTATATAAGTCTTATAAGTTCTACGTATATAAGTCTTATAAGTTCTACGTATATAAGTCTTATAAGTTCTACGTATATAAGTCTTATAAGTTCTACGTATAAGGAAAATGTGTGTGTTTTAATTGTTTTTGCTCTTAATGAATTCTTTTAATAAACTGTTTTTCTATCGTTGACTAAAAAGTATTGAAATAATTAACAAATAAGTATACAAATGATCAGTGTGAAATAGATAAATATAAAGATGGTTGGTTTGGTAAAGCCCTGTATTTTATGGGTCTAAACCAGATATATTATGAAGAAAAAGTATAGAAAAGTTCTGTGTGGAATAAACTTACAAAGACTGGTATTTTTATGGGTCCAGTCAGCTAGTTAATTTTTATTAACGCATTATTATGCTCTTGTTCTTAATAGTATAAATATATATAAAAATATATATATATATATTTTTATATTAATTTTTTCTATATACATTGGTTTATTTTGGCTTATTTTAAAATAAGTCAATGAATTGTTTTAAGTACAGATATTGTTCTTGAATTTTCTATTAATGTTATTTATAAGTTATACAATTTTATAAAAATGAACTTTGTTGCTAATATAATATAATAAGTTCTAATTTTATTTATTTTGATCAAGAAAAAAGTGTTATAATTTGTTTATATTTTTATCATATTAGGTTCCTAGAAAGAGCGACCGCAAACAAGAAAAAGTAATGAATAGAACAAGAAAACATTTGGTTGTTTTTTTTTGTTTTTTTTTATAAACATTTTAATAAATACATAAAAAAAAGTTTTCATATTTTGGTAAAAACCAACTTTAATAATGCAACTAAGATGATATGGAGATAATGTTAATGGTATGAGTCAAAACTCCTGTCAAATACTTCAACCTGTCAACAAAAGACCTCTCAACCTGTCTAAGGCTTTGCAACTCCTTTAATGCAAATAATTTACTTTATTATATTAGTTACTCTATTCTAATTGAAGATTTAAAAATATTCAGTTTTTTTTAATATCCAATTTATACAAATATAAAATAGTGGTATAAATAAATAAAATATTGACCTTTTATACTGCTAATAGATTTGTTAATGATATATAATAATAATAATTTATTAGTCAATATGTAAATTTATAGATAAATATGAATGAAAAAGAATTGTTTAAAAAAGTTTTTATCATTTTTAGTTTTATTTAAATTTTCTGATTTTTTTTATATTTATATTTTTATATTATTTTAAATTTTTTTAGTTTTATTTGATTTTTAAAATTTGATTTTTAAATTTGATATTTAAAATTTTTTGATTTTTATTATATTTGTAAATTTTTATTATATTTATATTTTTTGATTTAAAATTGCTTTTCAATCAAGATTATTTGGTAATTGTATACATTTGATATTTATCTTTATAAAGTGTATACATTTGATATTTATCTTTATAAATTAAAACTGAAATTTGTAAATCTTATAATGGAAATAGTATTATTAATTAATATTATTATTTAATAAATAATACTTATTAAGTATTATTAATAAACATTAATAAGGGGTTGTCAAGCCTTCAAAAGGGTGGTTTTGATTTTTTAATATTTTTTTTATATTTTAGTTATGATATTATATTTAATATTTTATATTTTTGTTTAGCATTATGACTCAAGCTTTTCAATATCTCCAGTTTCTGCAAAACATTCTGTTGAGCATTACCAAACAGAAATAGCTGATTCTTTAAATTCAGTATTTTCTTATTTTTATTTTTTTATTTAAAGCTGTTAATCTACACTGATAAAGTCAAAAGCATTTCAAAAGCATATCATAAAAGCATTTTTTAAGTTTTTTTTTTTTTGTGATATGTTATTAATATTTGCTGCATAAATTTTTGACTGCAATAATATTTCTTTGAAAATATGTATAAATAATATTCATAAGTTTAATTGTGATGGCTTAAATAGTTATTTTAATTAGTAACTTGCTCAATTGTAAAACATTAATTACATTTTAATTGTTTTCCACATAGGACATAATTAAGGAAAGCCAAAAATATTTGACACTTTTATCAATAAGAGTATTCCAAATTTTGAGAATAAGTTTACCTTAAGTGATTTTTTTTTTCATTTTTGAGAATGTTAATACAGTTCATATCAAAGTTCTAGCTATTCCCCTAAAAACTGTGTTTTTTTTCCATTTTTGAGAATGTTAATACAGTTCATATCAAAGTTCTAGCTATTCCCCTAAAAACTGTGTTTTTTTTCCATTTTTGAGAATGTTAATACAGTTCATATCAAAGTTCTAGCTATTCCCCTAAAAACTGTGTTTTTTTTCCATTTTTGAGAATGTTAATACAGTTCATATCAAAGTTCTAGCTCTTAGTTCCCCTAAAAACTTTTATGAAATTCTCTTTTCTCTAATCAGATTTTGACAACATAAAATAAATGCTTTGATTCGTCCGTAAACTACCATGAAAAGTTAGCTAAAACAATTTTATCATTTCTTGTTCCAATTATGGAACAAGAAGTGTAATTTCCACAGCAAGGTATACTTTGCATAATAATATCCAGGAAATAAAAAATTCTTTGGACAAGTTGTTTTGTTTTTTAATTTAATAAAATAATAAAAATGTTTAATGTTTTTTTTTATTTGTGTATTTTTATTTTTGTGTGTGTTATTTTTGTGTTGTAACACTATTTTTATCAATAACATTTTTCTATCATTTAGCCTAGGCAGGTCTGTAAGTTATCAAAATTGGATACTGTTTATGGGAATCTTAAATTGAATGATTTTGATAAACACAAATTACCTCCTAAAGATAATTTGCTTCTTAGCTGGCATGCCACACAAAAATCTTTAGATGAAAAAGGTGTTAAATATGTTGCTGGAAAGTGGACTGACTTTGAATTATCAATTTTAAATGCTAACATTAAAAGATTTGTCGATGAGAATGGAATATCTGACTTTAAAAAATTTTATAATGACCATAATGCAGTTAAACCTCCTAATATGTATGTTGAGTTAGGTCAAAATATTTATAGAACTATAAGAAAAATTAAGTTCAAAGTTGAATCACTTTATGATAAAAGCTACATAGATGCAAGTAAAAGTAACTCATATAGTGAGGAAGAAATTAAAAAGTTATTTGAACTTTATAAAGTTTATGGTCCGCGTTGGAAACTTATTGGTAAAGAAATGGGTAGAAAGCCTTCAAGTGTTAAATCAAGATATGGTAACTCCAAAATGTTTTACAATTATGAAAATAAAATGAGAAATGGCCCATCCAATTCAGACTTTTTTACTAAAGAAGAAGATGGAAAGTTGGTAGAGTTAGTTAGTCAAATTTCAAAAGACTACCCAGACAATATTCGTTGGTCTCATGTGTCGAAGTTAATGGGTACTAGAACAGCTAATGCATGTCGTCAAAGGTGGCTATTATTTCACCAAAATAGAGGTAATATTAGTAAGCCTAACATTTTGTTACGTAAAACTATGCGATCCATTGTGGATTCATTGGTAAAAAGTAATGTCACTGACCAGTCCAGCATTGACTGGACTGCTTTACTTAAAGAAATTAACTCAGAAATTTCATCCACTTTAATAAAAAAGACACTTTCAAGGTATATGATTGGTGAGAAATTTAAAAACAAAACATTTCAACAGCGTTTATTGTTTCTGAAATATAAATTCGACACGAGATCAATATTGAAATTTTAACATTTTTTTACAGTATGAAAAATAAATTTAAAATGTCTTGAAAAAATAAACTTCTTTTTTTTTTAATATAAGTTTGTATAAAGTGATTTTTTGAAATTTTCAATTTTTTTTTTTTTTCTTTTTTTTTTTTGGTATCAATGTAACATACTTCTGACGTTGTATTTTAATAGTCTTGTGGAAGCCATATATATATATATATATATATATATATATATATATATATATATATATATATATATATATATATATATATATATATATATATATATATATATATATATATATATATATATATATATATACATATATATATATATATATTTATATATATATATATATATATAAATATATATATATATATATATATTTATATTTATATATAAATATATATATTTATATATTATATATATATATATATATATATTTGTATATATATATATATATATATATATATATATATATATATATATATGTATATATATATATATATATGTATGTATATATATATATATATATATATATATATATATATATATATATATATATATATATATATATATATATATATATATATATATATATATATATATATATATATATATATATATATATATATATACAATGATATGATATGAATAATATGAGCAACTTAAGCGATAATTGGAATATTTTATAAAATAAAAGCTGGATATAAAATTTTTGCCAACAAACATTCATGAGTAGGAATCCCTAAAAATAAATTTTTAGGGAGTCCTACTCATGATTCATTTAGATATTTGGGTACCCCATACCTTTTCTTAAAAACAGAGAGGTTTTTAAAAGGTATTAAAACTGCTCATATTTCCTAGACCACTTGGTAATATGAGCACTTAAAATTAGCTCAAAAAACTAATATTAATTTAATTAAAAAATACCAACCTGACAATTATAACAAATTTATAAACAATACTACTTTGTTTTCCGCAAAAAAAAAAACAAAAAAAAATTAACTTTTTTTTTCTTTTTAACTTAAACCTTTGATCAAAAAAGTATCAAATTTTTTGAATTTAAATTACAGAAAAATATTTACTATTGTTAAAATATTAATTTTCGTCACAAAATTTAATAGCTTTTTTATTAGATAATAGCTGCTAATTACTGAATATATTTTACGCTAATTATACTGATTTCTGTTATAATCACATGAAATTGATACAAATATATATATATATAATATATATATATATATATATATATATATATATATATATATATATATATATATATATATATATATATATATATATATATATATATATATATATATATATATATATATATATAAACATATTTATCTTGAAACACAACTTTCAAGTTTATTAGAACAAGTTGCATTCTCAATTTGAAATTATTTAACAAATTATTTTTAACCTAAGTCAGAACTGGAGGTGTAAATACAATCCAAACTTTTTACATTTTGAGTCAAAATTCCCTATTATCCCTAGTTTACACACACACACACACACACACACACACACACACACACACACACACACACACACACACACACACTTACACACACATACACACAAACACACACACGTGTATTTAGAAATATATTTTTACTAGCAATGTTTCTAAGAAACTTATATTAATTATGAAGATATAAAAGGGAGAGTATGACTTGCTACTCAATATCTACTTGTTTAATGGTATCGGATAGAAGTTTTGCATCATGTGTTCATTGTCTTCAAGATTACTCTATAACTGCTGTTTTAACAATAGACAGCAATGAGCTAAATGACTTATTATGTGATAAGCACACTAAAAATAATAAAAATTGGAAGATTCCTCACGCAAAGTTTGTCCACATGCTTGATGAACCTTCATTTAATATTCTAACTTGTCTTGAAGAATGTGTTGAGTTTATTGAGAAGTTTATAAAAAATAAAGAAAACGTTTTAGTTCATTGGTAAATGTTTTTTTATCTAAATGATGGTTTTGTGATGATGTAATAATGATGTTTTTAATGATGATGTAATAGTGATGTTTTCTGTGGCAATTCTAACAATTTAACTATATTTGTATAATAAAATTTATTAAATTAAATATATTGTATAATAATATATAATCAACAATATTAGTGTAAGTTGTGTTGTTAATGTTATCAATAGTATTTTTAATTTGTAATAGACAAATAATATATATCTTTCTTGTATTTTTTCATTTGTTTATTTTTATGAAATTGTATTTAATTTAGCTTGGCTGGTCAATCACGAAGTATTTCCATTGTCACAGCCTATCTAATGAAAAATAAACACCTTAACTTAGAAGATGCTCTGCGATTTATTCAGTGTATTAAAACTGATGCTTTGTAATTTGATTTCTGTCTTTAATTTAAAATATTTTTAAACAAATGTTCATTGGTAGTTAGGTACCATGTGGTTATTTATTTACCATTTATTCACCTGTTATTATCAGGTTTAAAATTGTTTTTTACTTAAATATCACTTAGTTACTTTTGGTTTAAAATTTTTTTACAGATGTAGAAACTTGATGTGACCAATCAGGCATGTAAAGTAAGTTGGGTCGATTTTCAACTTTTTTTTAGATTTTAGCATTGGACTCGTTGAGATGGGTGCAAAGTAACATAATAACAAGAAAAAACAAAAAATAAAGGTTTTTTTGATAGCCATTTTTTGAGGAAATAAAATTTTGTTTTACTAAAAGCTAATATGAGGGGGTTTTTGAAAAAAATATAAAAACAGCGAAGCGAATGCATCAAAACAAGTTTCAATTGTAACTTTGTTATTTTACTTTTTTAAATATGCCGTATCAAAAAAAAAAAAAAAAAATGCAATAAAAAGGTTGTTGTTAAAATACAGCCTATTTAGATCAAAACTTCATCATATTTTTGACAATACCCTTCGAAGAAAAGTTTGTTCTCTTTTGGCGACTTTAATTTTTTTACAATAATATGTTTATGTCTTGTTTCCATTCCATATACTGTATGTCATTTTTACAGCTCTCTCAACACTCTGAATATGAGAAGGCAGAACTGGTAACTCAAACTTTGTTCCATTTAGCAACGATTCTTGTAATTGCTTAGATAATGTGTTCTGTGAGAGCTGGTTCACAAATAACTGCTTGAGAAAGGTCTACTAAATCTGACCAATGATATGCATCAGTTTTTTTTGCAGTGATATAGTTTAATCTTCTTTTAGGCGCTTTCCTATTTCTAAAAGAATTTAATTTAAATTCTCAAAATATAAATCTTTATGATTTTGTTTAAGTTTTTTCAAAAACACAAAATTTAATAAATAAATTTTTGGTTATACTTTTACTCCAAGGTGTGAACATTCCAATGCATTATTAGTTTTGAACTTTTTTCATACCCACCCAAAATTGCACCTTTACTAGTTTGGAGTTTAGTTTTTCTGCTTGCTGGTAAAAGTTTTCAAGGATTTACAATTTAATTTTTCAAAAAATGCTCAACCAGTATTTTAATTATTATAACAGTATTATAACTTTTTCCATTTGTCTGACATCTTAAAGTAACTCCATATAAACTACTTTATTTTAATAACATTATGTTTACCTGATACTTTAAATTTTTTTGGTAGCAGCTTTTCTGATTTCATCATGGAATACAATATATTTTCAGGCAGCAAAGCAAAAGCATTGTATTTTTACGAGATAGTTTTGGTTTCCTCAGACTGTTCTTTAATTCCTTTAATCATATTGAAAATGTATAACTGCTGTTTGTAAAACTTATTATCCAATTTTATTTCAAACCAGCTAACTGCATACACTTGCACAATCAATTTTATAATTTGGTGAAGCTTATCTTGCATTTCTAGAAGATAAGTGCCTCTTGTCCAAAGACATAATAATCGAGTTACCAAATTTAACCATCTAGCATAATTTAATGGCCCGATTTTCTACTTTGCATATTTATGATCAACATTTCCTCTTAAAACTCCAAGAACATATTCTAAAAGAAGTCTTTGATCACTATTCAAACCTTCTAAATGCCTTTTCATCAAAATGTATGTTATCTACATGGCTGCTAATTTTTATGAAGTCAACTTGAGGGAGATCTTGGTACTGATTTTCACAAAGTATTCCGATCGGACTATTAAACAAATTAGGGCTTTTGGTGCCTCCATCAAGATACTCGAAAATAGCTTGAAAGGGAAGTTCATTTTGGTGAAGTGAACAGCCAATAATGTGCCATTTGCTATTAATTTTTTTTTCTACAGCTGTTACAAGCCCATTTTTTCAGTAGCAGTATTTGTTAGTAGCAGTATTCTCAAGGAGGATAACTTTTAGAGAATGAGCAATCTTAAAATCATTTAAGACACTAGCAATTTTATCTCCTAACAAAAGTCCTGTAGCACCTTTGATCGGAACGACTCTGTGAGTAAGATATTATCCAATTTCAGACTCGGACTCTACTGTATAAATTAAATGGTGCTCTGAATGTTTATTTTGTCTTAGAATAATTTCCCGTTTGGATTCTTAACTTCTCTGTAAAATAAAGTCAACTTTAATACATCTTTAATACTAGCAACTATAATAAAACTTTAATACTATCAACTATAATACAACTTTAATACTATCAACTATAATACAACTTTAATACTATCAACTATAATACATATTATGCCATTAATATCCTCCATATGCTTATCTTGACTTACACTTTTCACTCTAGTTTTCTGTCAATTTTTGATTTATCAATAAATACTGTATTTATATTAAGATTTGGCACAAGTAGGCTTGTAGCCTGCAAATCTAACGAAAAACTTTACCGAGTTTAGCTCCAATTCTTGATGAAACATCAGCCCTAATTGATTCCCAAGCATATCTTGATGGTTTAAAGGTCCCATTTTTAATTGCTTTGTAACAAGATTCATTGTAACAAGATTCATAACAGGAGTCTATGAAAGATAATGAAAATATTAAATTTATATATATAAATAAGTATAAATATTAAAAATGTACATTATCTAAAAACACAATACAAATATAATACCTTTAATACTCCACTCATTTCATTACTGTAACTTTTCTTCATCTTCATTCATTACTGCTAATGAATCTAAACTTTCCATGTTGTTGTCAAATGATGTATATTTTATGTATTTTTCTTGAGAAACTTTATTTAAAATCTGCTTCTGACATTTATTTCTAACAGAAGTTTTGTTTGTCTTATTAATACTTTTACGATCAATGGATCCAAGTTGAAACAACCCCTTAGGACCTATTTTTGCTTTCTAATCTTTCAAATACATTCTATTTTCTAATGGAACTTAAAAAAGAAAAACAATTTATTATTCAATAACCATATTTGTATATATATACAAATATGGTTGTTGAAAAAAAGTTGTTGAAACTTTTTTTCAACAACCATATTTGTAACCATAACTGCCTTTTAAAATGATAATGATATATTATTAGACATCTTTCTCAACTAGTCCAAAACTTCAGTTCAAACATCGACCCACTTTAATGTAAAGTTTGACAAAAATTTGATAGCCATTGAAATGTTTTGTCCTTATAGTCTATTAATCAAAAATGTTTTGTTCTGATTATAAACCAAAATTTATGAAAGTCTACTCATCAAAAATGTGAAACTAAAATGAGAAACTGAAAACAAAATTTAAATAGGTTTGAATCTTTAAGGTTTTAATTTTTAACACTCAGATAATTGTTGCTTACAACACATTAGTATGCTTCTAACAGTATTATAAACTGGTTTACTAAAAAATATTTATCTATCTTGATATCTATAGCAGCATAAACTATATATCTGGTCTTTCTTTAATCTTTCTTGATTTTTTTTTTTTTTTCTTCAGTTTATTTTTATTTTTATGACATATTTATTTATAATATTTATTTTAGCTTATGTTCACTCATATTTTCTTTTTTCGCTTTTCTTTCATTCATTGGCACAATGTTGAAGAAAGTTTTTTTTGATACTCTTCAATATCTTTGCTTTGTAATTCCCTAGATCTTATATTATTGGCTACACTCCCTAGATACAAAATTCTATTTGCCATGATTTTTATTTTGAACAAAGTTGTTTAATCAGACTGATATCGATTTTGCATATACGTATAAGTTGATACCATCATAGATAGTGATAAATTGATCACTGCATCACTAGTTTGTATCACTACACAGTGATCAGGAATAACTTAAAAATAGACCAAAATTAATTTTATTTGAAAATATTTGTTTAAAATTGCTGAAACTTTGCTCAACAATGTAAAACATGTAGACAAGTAAAGAAGTAAAAAGTCTTTAAAAAAGTTAAATATGGTCATGTATGGGGGCAATTTTTTTTTATTTATATAAAAAATATAATCAAAAAGTAAATTTTGAAGTAATTCATTTCTATCAATCTAAATTCTGTCCTCAATAACTAGATAAAGTTGATATTTAGTAAACTTTACATTTATTTTATACCTAAGGGAAAGAAAAATTTTATTAATTTTTGCATATATATATATATATATATATATATATATATATATATATATATATATATATATATATATATATATATATATATATATATATACATATATGTATATATATATATTCACATTAAAAAGTTTTGCTCAGGAAAAGCTCTCAAAACATAAAAAATAAAGGTTATTTATGAATAAATTTAAAAAAATAAAGGTTACTTGCCTCATTAATTCAAATATATAAAAATTATTTAATATATATAAAAAATTATTTCATATATATAAAAACTCTTTAAAAATAGAATTGGCTTCGTGAATGAAGGTAAAAAGTCCTAGCTCAATAAAAATCAATTTAAACTTGCATTTTTTAAATGCATTTTTTACAAGATGTATAAATACATATTTCAAATATTTCATTAAGGTTATCTTATATCTTTGTTTATGATGAAAATTAAAATAAAAGGTTTCATATTTAGGCAGAAAATTAAGTTTTAATAATGATAAAATTTTAATAATAAAAAAAACTGCTTTTGGTCACTTTTTCGGTCACATTCTTTCAGTACTTCTTATTTTATAGCGTTAGAATCATAAGAAACTGTAAAAAATAGCTAATAGCATTATTTTAAAATACATTACTCAAAAAACTGTATTTTGGCCAAGTTTTAAGTGTTTCTAAATCACTGTTTACTATTATCTTTTTAAGTTGATTTTGTAGGTACCAATAGATTTTTTTCATTTTTAGGTTAATGTCAATGGTTTTATGCTTAATTTATTTTTAGACCAAACAATAGCTTTTTATTTCAACTTAAACTGTATGAAATTATGAACTACAAAATCATTCAAACACATCCAATTTACAGAAGTTTTGTTACAAACCTTCAACAAAATAAATTATTGGGTTGGTTTATTTAAGTTTAAATAAGAGTTTATGTATATGTATATATATATATATATATATATATATATATATATATATATATATATATATATATATATATATATATATATTTTTAAAGATCATTTTTTCTTATTATTTTCAGATTTGTAAACCTATTGTAAAATTTCTTCGTTTGAAAATTATAAAACTTATACCTTTAAATATACCTTAAAATTAAAAAAAAAATGTTTACCTTATAAAAACTTTTGTGAACAATCTAGTTTTAATAACTTACTACTTTTTATTAACGTATATTTTTTTCCAATTTATTTACGTATAAAAAGGTGTTTACAACAGATTTTCTTTTTTTTTTTTCAAATCACAATTTAATAATTTTTCAGAGAAACATGTTAAACAAGGAGTTGTTTCTCACTGAAAATATATGAGAGTATTTTATCATTGATAAATATGTAATATTCAATTGTGTAATATTATTATTAGTTTGTTCATATATTACCCACAGAATTTTTTTTTTTTTTTTTGCAATTATTAAAGGAAGTAGTCATGCATGGAGTCCATTAGAATACAATACAATGAATGATTTGCTAGGTAGTGCAGAGCAAACCTCTCCCATAGTTTATAGGTGTCAAAAGTGCAGGTTAGATTTTCTATTTAATTATTTTCTTAAGTTTTTTATTTAAAGTTGTATTTTTTGTTTCGTGTAAACTTTGTTGTGACACTAGTTCAACCATGATTTTTTTTACTGAGGAGAGAAAATATAACTTTTTTTTAGCTATAAAGAAGAAAATTAAAGTCATAGAGTAAATCTACCACAAACCTTGATAAAAAACAACTTTTTTTTAAATTCAGAAATTCTAATTTTTTTGTTTTCTTTGATATAATAGTTGGTTAGAGTAATTTTGCAGTGTAAAAATAAATTTTAAAAAGTTTTATGTTTCAATTAAAAATAAGATTTTATTTTTTTAAAAGCAAATTGTTCCTAAAAGTGAACAGTTACAAATTATATTTAAAAAAATAGATTTTTTCAGATAAATCTTTTAGGTATATATTTTAACAGTGTAAATCAAAATTTTAAATAGAAAATTTAAAATTTTGGTTTGCTATGTTAAAATATATACATAATATCTATACAAACAGAATATTTTAATAGTTTTGCATCTTTTTTACATAACTTGTTCAACATTCTTCTTAAAGAGGCTGCAGAATTTAGGATGTATGGTCAGGAATGCACTCTAATTTTAAATTGTTTTCTTTACATTTCAAAGCAATAATTAATGACACATGTGACATCCAAAAATAAAATATGATGACCATCAATTTCTTTAATATGTGGAATAAACATTTTATCTACAAAAATTGATTACTTTCCAGTCAACATCTATGGTGATGGATGCCCTACTTCTGGTAGTTACTTTCGCCTTTTCTCACCATTTTCATACAATTCCTCAAAAGCTTTACAAAAACCATCTCTAAATCTTTAATGCTTTACCAAAGTTTCTCTAAAACTTTACTAAAATATTCTCTGAATGTTTTTTTACAACATATTAACTAGCAATATTTTCTGTTGTATTAAAGATTTTTTGTTCAATTCTGATTGCCATTGACTTAAATAACTTAGGTACCATTTGCAACTAGGACACGCTTTACTATTTTCATTATTTGAACTTAATCTGATTTTCTACCAAAGCCTCAATCGTAAAATTTCTGAAGAAGGTTGACCAAGGTTTACTCAATAGAAACAATTTTTTTGTATTGTTCACTTCCAACTACTGAAACCTTGTTTGTTTTTCAGTTGGGTATTTTGGATTTAAGAGTAATTTTAATATTGTTGATTTTAGAGTTTATGTTGAGGTAGAGTTGTAGCTCTTATGCTCACCTCGTCATTTTCAATGTGCATTTTGTTGTCTTCTCAGTATAAAGTCTCTTTTTTTATTTTTTAAGCTCAGTAAATTCAATTTAGTTACAGATTTCTAAGAATAAAGGAATAATGCTCTTGTGTAGTTACTCTGTACTTAGTTAATTTGTGTACTTTTGTTGTTACTTTGTATTTTTGTAATTACTTTTTGTACTTTTATTGTTACTTTTTGTACTTTTGTTGTCACTTTTTGTACTTTTGTAGTTACTTTTTGTTACTTAGTGTATTTAACTTTAACTCAACAGTAAAAACTTTTTAAACTTATTAAAGGAATCGTTTTAATAAATTTCTTTTAATTTTTTATAATTTTTAACACGCTAAAAAAATAATAAAATCTTTTAAATTTTGTAAATTTTATTTTTTAGTGAAGACATTTAGTTTTTATAATAAATGCTTTTGTCTCTCACTGCTTTTCACTATCCTGTTTGTAGTAATTTTACTTGATAGTTTTGTAGTAAGTTTGTACTACTGTCCTGTTTGTAGTAGTTTTGCTCTATATATCAAAATTATTTTTATGTCTTTCTCACTTTGCAGAGAATTTGTATTTGATTTTAGGTTTTATATTATTTAATTTAAAAAGTAAGTAAATGTGACCATGATGTTTTTTTCTTTTTGACCCAAAGGCTTCCTAATGATAAATAAATGTTATAAATATGTTAAATTCAAAAAAATAATAAAAAATGAATAAAGAGCTAACTTTGATCCCTTAAATCAATTTTAGTGATCAATTTTTTTCTTTACATTTTTGTAGTTCCTAATGATTTTCATAATTTAATTTGGTTAGGTGTAATCTTATGCATTCAAATGATACTCTTCAAATTCATCATAAAGATTGTACATCGTTGTATTTAATTGACCCACCTGACTGGTTAAAATCTGAAATGGGTTCAAATGTGAAAGGAAAGGTAAGTCAAACATATGTATGCATGTCAATGTATGTATGTATGTATGTATATATGTATATATATATATATATGTATATATGTATATATGTATATATGCATATATGTATATATGTATATATATATATATATATACATACATATTTATGTATATATGTATATATGTATATATATATATATATATATATATATATATATATATATATATATATATATATATATATATATATATATATATATATATATATATGTATGTATATATATTTATTTATTTATTTATTAGTATTAGTAATTACTGTAATTGGTGTGTGTCAGTAAGTATTATTTAACACACTATGACAGCCGAATAGCTTAATTGCTGCTAATCCAGCAATAAAGACATGCTTTAAATCTGTTATCTAATAGCGTACCGTTATGGATCTAAAAATAGAATCTTTTTAGACCCATAATGGTATTTTGGACAAAAACATAAGAATTTCTTAAAAACGCTAGTGGTTGTGGAATTGATATTCGAACAAACAAACAACTTGACGTCACCATAACGGTACGCTATTGTGCTTTAATTAACTCGCTTGGCAAGCTATTCAATAAATCGGCTTATCTATTAAATAAAAAGTTTTCACGACACGCTTGCTTACACGCTTGCTTATCACGCTTAGTGATTTGACAAATATAAAGCGGTGACCTCTTGTTTGAGTTTGTTAAAAACTATTTTTTTTTTATTGTTTCCAAATTGTTGAAATCGTTAAAAACTTTAAAAAGTTAAATCATGTCTCTCTTTGTTTCTTATTTGTCAAGGTAGTCAAGTCAAGGTAGTCAAGTCAAGAGCTTTTAGACGACTCTCATAATTCTAAGTGCACAATGTCAATTTCACCCTTTCGAATAGGTGACCGATGCGTAGGTACGCTTGGTGGTCTTACCCGCCTCCCAGCACTGGTCTTACCTTACCCTCCCCCTCCTCCCATCACCTTTATAAGTTTCATATGCTCGGTGTTCTAACCTCCCTCCCCCCAGTTCCATTCACGCACGCAGACCTGATTTTTTTTTTTTCAACCTTTATAACCTTAACAGGCTATAAAAGTGAGCGGTGTTCACCTTTTAATAATGGCTAAGTAAACGTGAACTGTCTCCTCAATTTTTTGCGTTTGTGTACATTCGTTTGTTGGACCCAACCCCCCTTCCTCTTCGTACGCAAATTTCTCAACTTGGATCACTCTTTCTTCCCCCTAGATTCGTTCTAATATATGGATGGCCCCTAAGTGGTGATTAAATTGATTTTTTTTTAGATAAGTTTTATCTGACATGTATTATCAAAAAAACTCTTAAAACTATAAGAAAATATTACCTGAATGAAGAGTTCAATGTTATAAGACGTTTTATGTTTGTTTGAGTTATGTACGTTTAAGTTACATTTACGTATAATGTGTCTCTCTTTATATATATGTTGTTTTTTTTTTAATTGTTTAGATTGCTTGCTGGAGGTGTTCAACAAAATTAGGTGCCTACAGTTGGTCAGGTGTATATTTAATACAATTAAAACACTATTTTATAATATAACTATTGCGTAATAAATTATATAATATAAAAAGTTTAACTAAACTAGATGCCTACAGTTGGTCAGGTGTATATCTAAAACATTTTAAATACCATTTTATTATTTAACTATTATATAATAAAAGAAAGTAAAAGTAAATATACGTTAATGAAATAAATTAAAATTATATATTGTACATATTTGTATATAATAAATGTCTAGTAAAAGTAAAAGTAGTAATAAAAAATAAAACATATTAATATAGAATATATAATTATAAAAGATAAGTTGACGTTTGTTTTTCATTGCTTTGCTTAACACTTTATTTCACAGTTGACTACTGTTACCATAGAGAAACATGATTTTGAATAATGTACCACTACTTTTATTTTTTTAACCTGTAGTTTTTGAGATACTTTTAATTTTATGTAGGAAATAAATGTTCATGCGGAAAATGGGTTACACCTGCTTTTCAAATTCACAAGTCGAAAGTAGATTATCAAACAGCCAAGACATTAAAATAAAAGAACTAAAGAAAAAAAATTTAAGTAAAAAATTCATGCAGTAAACTGATTGAAAATTGTTGCTCATCAAACATAAAAATTATTTTAAAAAAAGCGTTGAAATAAAAGTTGACTTATTGAATAGTAAAATAAACCGTTGAAAATCAACTCATGGAACAGTTAAGTTAAAAGAATAGTTTGCTTATCCAGCAACAAAATTTAACTTTCAAAGAAAAATACGTCCATCCAATCTTTAACGTTAAAAAGAAATTAACATTAATGAAATTAGCAAGAAAAACAGACAATGAAAATGCTGAATTTTAAGAAGAAAAAAAGCAATAGCTAGTAAAAGTTACATTTAATGAATAAAGTGTAAAATTTATGATAGTTAAAAAAAAAGTGACTATGAGTAACAGTGACTGATCTAGAGGTAAGAAACGGAATATGCATCAAATTTCTTTCACCAGGTTGCCTAAAAATAATATTTTGTTCAGCTATAACACTTGTATAAACTGTCAAGATTTTCCATAATATTGGAATTAAAAAACTCCATTACTTTTCTAATTGGATAATGATGAATTAGTAGTCAATCAGTGATTGCTGAATTATTAGCGCCCTCCTATCTAAGTACCGTGTATAAAATAAATGAAATTTAATTTACTTAACGTTAAATTCACTTTTTAAAACATTTGATTTTGACATATTATATATGTGAATTTTAACTCCTAATTGGTACGATTTGTTTAATGTTGATCATTTGGGACAAAAATGATTCGAATCTACAATGGAGCTCAGTAGTAATGGGCTAAAAGCAGAATATATATCCGGTGTTTCACTAAATTTAATGAATTAGTCACTTTTATTCACAGCTAGTTCAGTTAATGAATGCACCACTTTATATTAAAAGTAATTGGTTTAAGTTGCCAACAGCTATTATAATGCTCTATGAAAATTATTGCTTATTTTTATTAGTAAATATTATTGTGAACTAAAATTTAATCTTAAAGTTAATACTACTCAAAAACACCATAAAGTTTGCATTTCTGTATTTTTTTTTTTTTTTAAACAGTTTAAAAATTATTGACCATGAGCACCAATACTTTTTTTGTTAAATTTCAGAAAAAATTCCGCCAATCCCCCCCCCCTCCCCTCCCCCTTCCTCCGTCTATTAAAACTCCCCCATTTATTAGATTTTGACTAAATTTCCCACTCACCCGTTTATTCCCACCCCCCGTTGTATTCGGCACTCGAGAGTATTATATCCTTCGTAACAGCCTGATTATCAAGAAAATTTTAGTTTCAATTTTGACTTTCTAATGTATTTTCGACAGTTGAAAAGTTTTGAAAAGTGCTTTTAATTTGTATCAAATCGCATGTGGTAAATTATAGTCGTTTTCAAAATAATTCGAAGGGAGATCATTAAAACTGATATTAACGATAAGTTTTTAATCTTTTTTACCTTTAATTCAATATGCATAGAAAAATAGAATATCAAAATAATTAAGATAACGACAAGGAAGATAAATAAAAATAATAACAAAATGTTGCGCAATCACTTATCGCTAATAAACTGGCAACAACTTGTTAGGTACAAACGAAAATAAATACAAGTCATAAATAGTTTTTCAAAAAACTTGAGAAACAAGTTATTTGAAAAATTTAATTAAAAAAAATATATATTTAATAAAAGAAAAACTCAAGATGTTATAAAAGAAGTAATATGAAAAGAATGATTCAGATTTTTGCCAAAACATTTAAATACTGATAATCAGTATTTAAATGATTAAAGATCAATAACATTTTATATACATCGGAAAGACAATAGCTAATAAAATAAGTCAAAGTAAAAAATATTAAAATATTTTTACATTTTTTTATTTATTTGAATTTTCATGCTATATATTTCTATACAATGTTTTTATATCCGAAGATATTGTTGGCTTAGCATAGGAACAGCCGCAAATAGTCATTAAGACTAATTCCAAAGTAGCGCCTGTTTTTGGCCAACATTTTTGCGTACCGAAGTACTACTCAAGCGTTGGCGGTAACAGGATTTAAACTCGTATCTTACAACAGTTCGGGTTTAAACTTTTTGTTCTACGCTCTAACCAACTATCCAGCCATGTATATAGTCTAAAGAATAAAATAAGCTAAAAAGTTTTTAGTCTGGCCGAATGAGGGCAAATTTAATACTGAAAATGCCACTTAACTTACGTTACACGGAAAACTAGGTAAAATAATTGCTTCAACGTTTAGGTAAAATTTCTGGGAATCAGTAAAGGAATCGTCCATAAATTACGCAATGCAAAAAATATTTCAAAAGTAGAAGATAATAAGCTCATTTACGCAGTGATTTTCTTTAACTTAATTTCCTATTTTGATTATTCATTTAAATTAAGGAAAACCTTTGATCTTTTTTTGTTTTGTTTATTCTGAAATTTTGCGTTACGTAATTTATGGACGATCCTAAAGCTACAAAAAACCTGTTGTTTATCTAATAAACTAACTATTTTTCTTGTAAAAACTCAAGATATATTGCAAATTCCTGGTGAAAACTGTTCAATTTATGGATGTTCTTCCTCAAGAAATTCCATATATTGGAGTTAATTTCTTTAAAGTTCCTAAAGAAACGGACGATTTACAAAAAAATGGCCTTCAGAATTAATTAATATAACGAAAGATCGAGTTGTTGATGATATTCTTCGAAAAAAAATAAACGATTTTGAACATTAAAAATTGTGGATTTGTGAGCTTCACTTTTTCCCTTAGCAAATTTGGTGTTATGAAACAAGAAAAAAATAAAAGATGGAGGGCTACCATTGTTAAATTTACCAAAAAAGAGCTTAGAATTGAGAGCTTTATGTTTCGTTATTCAATCCTCATCGTTAATATCGAAGCGAGAAAATTCTCAATTACTTTTTGAAAGTTCTTCTTTAACACAGCCCTATATAAAAATTATAGAAACTTTACTGACTTTAAAAAACATCTTCTGCATTTGTCTTCAGTAAATAAGTTATGGAAAATTGAATTTTTTGATAATTTTTTTTATACTTCATTCAAGTTATTAGAAGAGGTGATTCCAAAATTTGAAATTTTTGTAGAAGATTCGTTATATTTTACTTTTCGTGTGTATGGATGGATGTTACCTGAAACACGAAATTTATATTTGAAATATAAAAGGTCATTTCTAAATGTGATTTTTTCACAGTTTATTTTTGAAATAGAATTTTTAAAATTTTGCAATAGAATTAAAGTTCCTGATCATTTAAGTAAAGCTTTTGACACTGTCAATCATCAAATCCTTCTATCCAAACTGAAAAGTTATGGTATAATAAATACTAATTTGTCCTGGTTTAATAGTTACTTGACTAATAGAAAGCAGTTTATTTCATATGATAGCGGAAAAACGGAATATAAGTCAATCACCTGTGGTGTTCCTCAAGGATCAATTTTAGGACCACTTTTATTTCTCGTTTATATTAATGACTTATATAAATTTTCTAACATTTTAAACTTAATTTTGTTTGCAGATGATACAAACTTGTTTTATTCTAGTAAAGATATCAGTAAATTATTTCAAACAGTAAACAAAGAACTTGAAAAATTAACCCAATGGTTCAAATCAAACAAACTATCTTTGAACATCAATAAATCCAAATACACTTTGTTCCATCGTCTTCATAAAAAACAAGATATTCCATTAAAACTTCCTGATCTTTTTATTGATAACGCATTATTAAAAAGAGAGCAATCAATAAAGTTTTTAGGTGTGGTTCTGGATGAAAATTTAACCTGGAGGGACCACATAGGTCTAATTGAAAATAAAATATCATAAAATATAGGTGTTTTGTATAAAGCCAAGCAGTTTTTAAATCTATCTTGTTTAAAAAACTTTTTTTTTTTTTTTTTTTTTTTTTTTTTTTTTTTTTTTCTTTAATTCATTGCTACTTAAATTATGCAAACGTTGCTTGGTGCAGCACAAACGCAACAAAAGTAAAAAAACTGTTTAGTAAACAAAAACAGGCTATAAGGATAATTACAAACGTAGACCGTTTCTCTCACACTAAAACATTATTTAATAAACTTAATATTCTAAATGTATATAAACTAAACCTTTACCATATTCTTATCTTCATGTTTAAACTTGATAAAAAAATATCACCAATGTTATTTAATTCACTTTTTGAAAAAATAAACCACATATACCCTACCAGATTTTCAAAAAACAATTACATTCAATCCAAAACACATTATTCAGCAACCAAATTCTCAATTGCAAATCGAGGTCCTAAGCTGTGGAATACAATATTAAATAATGAGCTGAAATCTAATTATTCTTTAAACCAGTTTAAAACAAAACTTAAGCAATTACTGATGATGCATGAAAATGAATTAAAGTTCTTCTAAAAAGCTTTTTAAACTAGCAAACAAAAACAAAAATTAACCTACTAATTACTCTTTAATATTATATTTAATATTCTAATCATTAGTCTGCTATTGTAAATGTATTTCTTATCTTATAAGTTTTGAATTTACAAACGATTTTTTAAGTTTTATTATTTGAAATACTAATTACTAAAAATATTGTAAAATTTTATAATTTCAATTTTTATAAAAAAAAGTTATTGTAAATTCTTTTTGAAATATTAATACTTATATATCATCTTATTTTACTAATCAGTTCTTAAATATAAATACTCTTTGAATTACTAAATATTTTAAACGTTATATATTTTATTTTTTACATTTTGTTAAAATATTTTATTTGATGAATATGCATTTTTTTGGGGGGGCTTAATGATAAGATGAATTTTGTCTTCTTCAAGCCCCAGTCATGTAAATATTTGTTTTTATAAATTACGAGTGTAAATTATTTTCAATCGGCAAATACAATACTAAAAAAAAAAAAAAAAAAAAAAAAAAAAAAAATCAGTAGCGTAACTATAAATTTGCCTCCCCCCCCCCCCCCGCCTAAAAAGTAAAGGAGGCCCCTTTACTTTTTTACTTTACTTTAAGTTTTTTCAACGTTTAGAAATTCTTAACGTTCTAAAAAAAATGTGACTTTTTAAAAAAAATGCCCGTAGGGATATGTGAAAAAATTATAAATTCATGAAATGTATTTGATAAAACAGAAATTAGTAACACTCATATTATTATTTTCAGTCGTATTATTCATATGAGTAAAATTTGTAAATCTCCGCGGGGCCCTCTAAGCTCCGGATTATTATTTTGTCTACAAAAATTCTTTATCAAAGTCTAAACTGCATCAAATTAAATTTTATCGCAGCAACTCTTGTGAATTATTTAGAAAGAATTTAGAAAGAATCAGCCTTGCAAATTTTGTCATGAACTTAATGTTAAAGTAAATTCTAATATACACTCTAAAAGATTTACTATTAAGACTCCTGGTAAATTAAATGCGCAAATCTCTGTAACTTTTCCTATTAGACTTAAACTGACTTTGTAGCAATGCACTTCAATGCAAGCAATACAAAGAGGAAACTGAACAAATGAAATATGCTTTAAATATATGTAGTAA